CCGGAAAGGTGTCATTTTTCAGGTCACATAATATGCAAGGGCGGATCCAGCCCCCCCCCCCAAAAAAAAGAACCCAACTGTTGTTTTTTAGACTGACGTCGCAATATTAAAGCAGGCAGTGCGTATACACCACCATCTTTTCCTCAAAAAGATTGGTTAAAGTGGTCAGAAATTGCCTCAGATCACACCAAAGAGGCTCCAAACCCCACGCGGTATTTTTTTTTTGGCCCTCCCCCCCCCCCAAAAAAAAAAATTGTGTTAACGATCCGCCCTTGTATATATGACCCGGACTCCCTGTCAAATTTGTCCCGGGACTTTTCAGAGTGTAGACTTTTCTGAAAAGACGACTCCCTTCTTGCAAATTTTCGCAAACAAGACTTGTTACGCTTATAAACCATTACTGAGAAACCCGTTGTTTTCATTATATAAAGAGGTGGGCATCCTTTCAATTCAAACATTACAACCATTGTTTTATACAAAGAATATACCTTCAGTCTCAGGTGCTTCAGTTCAGAAGTGGATTGCGTTACACTTTTCATAAGTCAATATTTGCCAGATATGGATGTTTTACATCGCCTTGCATGTTTGTTCTCGATGGTGAAAAACCGTGCAGTGATTGAGCGTAAAAAACGGCACTTTCTGTCTGATGGAGACGGATGGGCCTGTAATACAAGAGGCAATCAAGCGCTCAACATTAGATTATCGGCAAATGAACCTCGCGGATTTGCCCCAGAGCTTACATTGCGTCCATCTAGTTTCGTGCGTAATACTCCAGGAGGTTTTAACGGCCGAACGCGGGCCAGTTTAATTGTGAAATACCGGTGTTTTATGAAATTTTGACTTTTCATAGAAAGCGGATCTTTGATTGTTTTGCTCATGTCTCCGTTCACAGAACTATATAGACGAGTGCGGGGCTAATAGTATAAAATAAAAGAGACCAGATTTCAAGGTAGTCCGAATTCCATGGGAAACTCCACAACTAAGTTGTCAGGTGATGAACTCCTTTTAGTGATTAAAAACGGAATAACAGTAGAGTTAATGTTAAGGTGTTAATTCCGTTCAATTAAAAATCAGACCAATACAATTCGACAAGTTTTACCGTTTTGTGCACTGTGAATTTTTATTTGGTACGCAAAACAAATGAACAAAATACTATGTACAAAGTTATGAATAAACATTTTAGACTCTATTAAAAAAAATCTATACAGTTTAATTTGAGACATCGTGTGTTTAAAAAGTCACGTCTTAAAATCCCCAAGTTTTACGAAGTGTTGTAGCAACTGCAAAATAAAAACACAAGTTTATCGGAACTGGCACGCCTGCGCAGTCCCAAATGTACCACGTGGTACAAACTGCACCACGTGGGTACAAATGGTCCAATGAGAATGGCATAAATCTGTAGGCAAGTGTCAATTATGCGTGGCGCCCACGCACAGAAACCAATTGATTCAACTATGGAAACTTTGAAACAAAAACCTTCCACAACAGGTCAACCGAAGGAAAAATATACACTCTAAAATTGTATAAAATGACGACAGAATTGTTAAGCTATCTTTCTCGCTTAATTTGATCCATTTGTTTACGTTATGACAGAATTACTGATAAATATTTCATTGTATTTTGTGGCTCATTTTTCAGATGGATTTGCCTATCATCGTGGACAATAGAGAAGAATGGATGATGAGAAGATGGGGAAACCAGTGGCTGTTTATTGTACAGGGTGGATAAAAAATAAACGAAACCGAAATATTATTGCTAATGGGAACAGACGTAGGGCACATGTGAATCAAAGGGAGATATCCTCTATGTTGGGTTGAATCTCCTCTTTAAAATGACACCCTGATCATGTCATTACATTCACGGTTGACTGAGCAGTGACCAATTATTTTATGAAAGGGTCTATTAAGAGAATTTGCCACTTTTCAATTGTGTTTTTTTGTGGTGTCAATTGTCACTGAGTGAAAGGCTATGGATGCCTATCAAGGCAGGTGGGGAAAAAAGAGATTTCACCATGAAAAGTGACGCAATTCTCTAAATAGAATATTTGGTCACTGCTCAGTCAACCGTGAATGTAATGACATGACCAGGGTGTCATTTTAAAGAGGAGATTCAACCCTAACAGAGGATATCTCCCTTTGATTCACGTGTGCCCTACTTCTGTTCCAATTAGCAATAATATCTCGGTTTCGTTATTTTTTATCCACTCTGCATAGACTATACAAGTGATGCACAAAATGTGCGTCGTTTTATACTACGCGTTCTTTTAGTTATCACAGCGAAGCCATTTTTGCATTCCTTTGGTCGAAGGGAGTTGTACTAATAATGGACACTCGGAAACTGGATGGGGACAATCTCTTTTGCTTCCTTTTTTATCATTAAAAGCCGATTGAATGGTAATATTCTATTCAAACAAATCGTTTAAAGTGCTACTGCAACGTAGTCCGGAGGAATTTTGATAAAAATTCTGCTAATTGGACCATAATGCCAAGAAAACTGTGTCACAATTTTAGTGTCCTATTATTGAGCCCCAAATCAATGGAATAGGCCTACATAAAATCTAGGGTTGGGAAATTCACGAGTGAATGTAGTTTTCTCGTCTGCCGAGACCTTGACAATGAGGATAATTATTCAACAACAAAGTGAGGACAATGATTCGATCGATATGCGAATCACCACGTAAAAGGTCGCCATGAAAAGACGGCCATTACCGGCACAATTGAGCAATCCACTCCGTTTATAGTGCATTCTGAAATAGGATCGCAGACAGAACATATGCGGAGATGATTTAATTAATGATCGTTGGTCATATCTGTCACTTACTGTTCGTAAGTGACTGAAATACATTTATTAACATGTAACGTACAGTCAGTGGCGCACCCAGGATTTGGTTTTGGGGGCTAAAAAAAAATTCAAATTTTGGCCGCAAAAAAAAATTGGGTTTTTTTTCGAGGGGGCAAACTATTTTAATGTTGATGCCGCCACTTACACCCCTATTATATACTCGAAAATTGGCCATACATATCACCAAGATCAAATCGTGGAACTAAAAAAAATTCCCCCAAAAAAATAAATCAAAATGACAACCTATTTGGGGGCTGAAGCCCCCGAGGTCCCCCCCCCCCCCCCTTTTTGGCTGCGCCACTGCGTACAGTAATTTTGACATTTTATTCAGTTGTGGGCAATTATTTTTTATTTATACATTAACGAGTACTTTGTGAAGACAAATGTATAAGATGGGATTTCTGAATCCCCCTGCAATGAACCCCTCCCTCCCCCAAAAATGATCGATTTCGACCGATTCAACCGATTGATCGACCAATAGACGATCAGCAAATGACAAGACTCCAAAATAGTGGTTTGGTGATTTTTTTCAAATTCTTTTAAAAGGCATATAAGATAATTTAAAAATATCCTGAGATTATCTACCAAACTACTACCGAAATGCTTTGATTAAAGATCGTACTGGTCATGGGCGTCGCGGGGGGGGGGGGGTAAGGGGGTACTTCCCCCCCCCCTCCCCTGGATAAGAGGAGGGAAGTAGGGGGGGAGGAGGAAAAAGAGGTCCGAAGCCATATTGTTGTTGATTTGATGGGGTTATAGGGCAAATGTTCCCCTGCCCACGCTCGGAAAATAATAAATTGAGAATATGTTTAAAAAGTTAAGAAATTTTGGCAAAAAAATGTGCTTCGCTTCCCCCCCCCCCCCCCCCCCCCCCCCTCCCTGGAAAAAATCAAGGCGACGCTCATGGTACTGGTACTAAACACCCCGTGAAGTTATTCCGTCTGGTGTGCTGTCATTTCGAAGAAATAAAGAAATGTAGTTGATTTCCAACGATCATTCAATTGACTGAGTGCTATGGACAAAATCGTGTTTCGTATAATGCTCAAAAGGTTGTGCATGGTTTTCACTCTTTTTTTCGAAAAGTGTATTATCCTGTGAGTTCAAGATCAGACCGTAACAATACGCCTCTGTACTGATGACGTCACACTTTGTTTACACGTGTGCTTTCTTATGGGAGCCTGGTGGGGACGACGGTTTCGTAGCCCCATATATAGGAAGGCGCACACGTAAACAAAGTGTGACGTCATCAGCACGGAGGCTGATGCAGTTTTTAACGTTCTTCTTTGGCTTTCGTGAGGTGTTATAATTGGAAACGGATGGAATGCAAATGATGTCTTTGTTGTGTAAATCATGACCAAAAAAAGTACGATATGCCAGCAATAATATTATGATCGATTTAACATCACTACATCAATGTTTTCTTCCTCTAAAGGCACTACCAGGTGAATTGTTCAACACATAAAATGGCCTCACCCGTGCACATCTGGGTTTTTGTGACTTGTCATATAAATATGCTATTAAAAATAGATTGTGTAGCCACCGTGTCGCAGTATTAAAGGTGCAGCAATGTGACTGACAGACGACATGAGTGATCCACAGTGGAGCTATTCTTAGAAATACGTATTTTTCTGTTGGCTTGGAAATAACGACGCCAACATAATCCTCTTTAAGTAGTGCTAGAAAAAACAGTCAGATTCGAAGCCAGAAAATTCAAAATAACTCAAGTCTATTTGAAAAAGCAGGGATAAACTGCTGTTGATCAGGGATTCCGTTCTCATTGTACAGAGTGTGCAAAAACGAAAAGCGCAACATTCAGAAAGCATTAAAGCCTGACTATTTCTCAATCCACTCCTTTTTACCCCATTCCATTTAGGTCCCTAGATCCAGAAATACAATCAATTAAGTGAATTCTACTTGGGTGTAAATTCTACTAAGGCCACTCTCACCTGTAATGTCACCAACCTCAATATCTATTCAATGCCTAGTCAATGCTTAACCCAGATTCAGCACGTCCAGGTGAGAGTGGCCCAAGTAAAATTTATACCCTTTCACTTAATTGATTGTATTTCTGGATCTAGGGACCCAAATGGAGTTGGGTAAAGAGTGGTGGATGGAGAAATAGCCAGGCTTTAATGTAATATTAATCATTTTATTGAAGAAAAACACAATAAACAGTTTTAATTATTTGTTTTCTGAATGTTGCACTTTTTGGGCACTCTGTATCGGTCTCCTAATGCTTTTTAAAACTGGTTTTCACAGACTTAATCGCAATACTTGAACGATATATCGGTGGTATAACAGTGGTGTTTACAATTATAGCTAGTGAGTCTAAGTCTGCGGTACGTTCCATTTGTATATAAGCATGCATTCGCAATGTGCTATCTCGAAGAATTATGCAAACAGTTTGCGATTCTTGAATTTCACGCCAAAAGTGGGACATGTAATATAAGTACGTGAAAATGAACCTCGTTCACCCGTTTGATTGAATATTGTCATGGTAACTGTCATTTTGTAATTGCGAGTGCTTTACTAGAAGAATTATGGTGTGCCAATAGATGAATACACATTTCAGTGAACTTCTGTTGTATACAAGGCAATAACGACGTGCTATATAGACGTGCATTTTAACACCACTGCTCATAGACTTGCTTCGAGAATAATTAATCAGGCCATGTAGCCATTTCTGTCGGTATGCCACAGGTATGTTAATTATTCAAATATATCAGAAACAAGACTATGAGTTTCGGCATTGAAAAAGACATCGTGTTTTATATACAAGACTGATCTGATAGCTAGCATTTATTTTCTGCACCCTGTGTAGTCTCTATTCATATAAACGTGCCTTGTTTTTCCAATTTTACTCTTTTGAAATAACCTCCTCCCCGGGCCATAAAACATAAAGAAGTTGAAATTTATGCATGGCCTTGGGTTCGATTGGGGGGGGGGAGGAAATAAATCACTAAGTTACATAGCTTTCACATCTATTCTTTCATATCAGGCGCGATTCACTGATGCTGATGTGTCTTTCCATGTAAAATATGTCCCTTTCTTACTTCTTTCCTGTTCTGAATGCATCAATATGACCTCCTAGTCAAGATCCCTAGAGGGCGTTTCAGGAGGAAACCAACCAAGTACCAAGTAAGTAATATAAAATGGTCAATTATTAGTATGTATTAAGATACACATTAGTAATGCTGCATCCTATCTACCATTCTGTGAGCCTTGAGACTTCATGGTTGAACTCCGAGGTACAGAGCGCTTCCAGCAGCGAAGAATACGCAAGAAAGCCTCCTTGAAGGGCGGGTTGCAGACGGCATAGCAGAACGGATTCACGGTACTACTCAGGTGTGCCAGCCACCCTAAGAACTGAATTAAAGAAGGAAATACAAAAAGACGTTATTAAGGACATGTCGTGGATTTGTGAGGCATGCACAACGCATTTGAAATTTTGTGAAACGTATCTTAGCTTACGAAAATGCATGTGACAGAAAACAGTGGTTCGACTCAGTTTTCTGGGTCAGAATTGACCTAAAACTTTTCTGGGTCGAAATAACAATTTTCCGGGACAACGGTCTGGAAAAGTTATTTAGAGAAGTGTCATTTTGAGACGAAAAAGTGTCAAATCAAAATAATCTGACCCGTATTACGGGTCGAATTTGACCCAGGACTTCTAAAAGTACACCTACCTTGAACTGATTATCCGTAATAGGAAAGTTGTAGGGACTGACGGCTCCCCAGAAGGCAAAAACTGACCAGGGTGCAGCCGTGACAACGGTAGTCACCAAGATGTACGTAAGGGTGCGAGTGGCCCGAAGACTAGCCAAGCGATTCTCGCGTTTAGAGCGCCTTGATCGCGCAGAGAAGCCAGGTCGTTTGTGTGGATTGACAGAGGCTGTGGTTACTTTCTCCTTCGGTGCTTCAAGGTTGGTTCTGGTGTTGCCGTTGTCATCATCAGCCTCATCCTCGTTTTGCTCGTAGGCAAGGTTTGTCAGACCCATGGAGACTCCCCCAGATATGCTGTAGACTTTGTCCTTAGGTGGTAGTTCTGCGTCTGTTGGGTCTGTTGAATCAGCTTTAGGAGCCGGGCCGTCAGCTAGGCGATAGCTTCTCTCACGAGGTTCACGATCTGCGGGCTTACAAGCTCTCTGGGAAACCTGCTGCTCGGATTTAAAGTCGGAGCTGGCCTCCTCGCCGATGTGTCGCTTCTTGTTGATACCCTTGCGGATGACGGCGCTGTAGACAAATACATAGAGGATAATGGTGGCTCCCATTGGGGCCCAGGACAGGCAGAGCATGGCCAGGATGAGCAAGGGAGGATGCAGACCGTAGGATCCGTGGCACAAGGGTGGTTGTATCCGCGTGGTGAGTCCAGAATACGGAAAGATGAGGATCAGAGGTGTCCATATAATGAGGGGTATGATGTAAGCCAGGGATATCATGAAACACGCGTGCTTGAGCGTCTTTTTTTTTAGGTGTTTGAGCGGCATGTTCAAAGCACGGAATCTGTCGAAGCAGATGACGAGGGTCATCATGAAGGTGGCCTGGAGGAACACATGGATTAAGTACTGCATGGCGGAGCACAGACCCTCACTGAACGGCCAAGTGTCCAAAAACCAGATGACGTTTTCAAGACCGGGTATGATGCCGCCGCTGACCAAGTCAGCGAAGGCCAATCCCACGATGTAATGATTGGTGTAGGTCCGAAGCTTCTTTGTGGTGAAGTAGGCGTACATGACCAAAGCGTTGCCGAAGAACGTCGCCAGGAGAAAGACGGTGCACAGGATGATCTTGAGAACGAGATACGGAGGGGGTTGGTGTGGTTTGGGCGGCATTAATGTGGAGTGCACCGTCGAGAAATTGGTCCACGTACTTGCATTGGTATGATAGTCGTCGTAACTGTCATCTTCGTAATGTCCAGTGTCCATAGACCTATTGGTGGAGCTCACAGTGCTATTCAATAACGAGATACTGTCATTTCGCCATCCAGATGGTACGAACCCAGTTTGTACGCTACTAACCTCCGTTCCAGTTGTGAGCAATGCGTCGACAGCAGTAGTCCCCATTTTTAACGAATAGCCTGAGTTAAAAAAAAAATGGTTGTTTTGACGCAGAGCTGTTGTTTAAAGTCAAGAGGCACACGATCGAGACGCACGAGTGGCAATGTTGTAGTGCCGAGATGACTAAGGTGATATACCACCGCGATCGAAAACGGTGACACGTTATGTCAATAGCCGCAGTTTGTTCTCGTTATAACAGCTAGCCCACTGTCTGTGGTAAGGGATCACGTCAGAAGTGCTGTTGGTATATAGTCAGGTTGTTCCATCCAGACCTAAATACAGTCATTCATTAAGCACTCCTAACTCCCTGTCGATATTAAAAAGCCAGTATGAGACAGCGTGTAGCGGCGGATTTGCTAAGTATTTGTGTGCCCTTTGAGTAAAAGCGGCCCACTGCCGTATTACCTCCCCCAAATCAATTGAATATTCTTTCTATAGGTGATCGCGAGTTGAATGTCGTCCACGGGCAAAACAGATTACGTTGCTAAGTCGTTATTCTTTGTTATTAGTTATTATTAGCTTCTTTTTTGCGACGGACCTTACACACACTTTGAGTACAAGGATCCCACCAAATGCCAATGCACAGTTTTATAATGATTTGATTTTGGTCATTTCTATTGCGCGCAGTCCGTCGTGAAGTTAAATCAACCATGAAATCAACCGTTCAGGCTAATTGCGCTACCTTTATTACTGACAGCTATCTCTACACGGTCAATGCACAGATTGATTGATGACCACCGTAGAATAGGCGCCCCCTGTCGATTTTGCCCACGGTGTTTTCGGCCGACAACCCCGCCAATTCTTGAGCTTAGGATGCCAATCGACCGTTCTTTTAAAGAGAGATACAAACCGTCTGACCACTACTGCGCAGACTCACAACAAATAGTAGTCAGTTTTAGGCAATCCCATTGGCCAAATCAATCAACACGTGATATGGGTGAAACATTTCGGATCTTTCTTGTTGAATTATTCATCATTTTCAATATCTCACATTGATTGCACGTAATTTAGCAATGTTTTATTCCTTTATATAATTTGGTGCAACTTAGGGATGTGTTATGCTTCCGATTGCTAGTTCGATATTTTCCCAGGAGATTCCCCAACAAAACTGTTGGATGTTTGGAAAGCATTTGTGCATGCCTTATGTCAATCGTAATGCAATTACATGCACTAATATCATAGTCTCTCTGTCTCAAAAAGTTCAAATTATATCGAAGAAATGTAAAGGCTTTCTGGCCTATACACAGTCATGTCCCCGAGGCCGGGGACAATATCCTGTCTTGACATAGGCGCAATTGGAAAACGTCTTAATGGACGATTGGTGGCGCTCTCACCAAACAAATTCAGCTTTCATCTCAACCTCCGTGACAGGGGTTAACGTACTTTGAGCCTCGTTTCTAATAGTAACCCATGGGTAGGAAACTGGCTTTATGTATCCTGATTCGATACAGCAAAAGTAAGTATGGATATATGTCGTGTTCTTGGTGGTGTAATTTCCAACGTGCATTACGTATTTTAACGTTCAATGTGAATTATTACGTCACTCCACCTCAAAAGAACCACCTTTTCCAAGTTTTTTTTTTATAATAATGTGAAATGTGACACTGTATATTGGCTGGGATAAGCTTGTACTGACATTTTAAGTTTGTAAAGAAAACCGTGTATTCGGATCTCACGCCGCCACGAATAGATTATGTTTTTACCCCAGACACCGCATACAAAAACAAGAACAACATTTAAAGCACAGCCAGGCACCAGACTGTTTCTTATTTGCATGCATGTGCAAACGTTTTGAACAAGCAAATGATCCAAAACACCCGGTTGAGAGAGTAGGTAGTGGTGGGAGCGTACTGCTCGGTACCATGGGAACGAATTTGGCTATCCTCTGTAATCTCGTGCATGTTGCTGTATGCGCAACAGTGTGAACCTCAGAATCTCAGAATGTTGACTAGACATCACCACCAGGCGTCATTGTCTCGTATAAAATCAATGTGAATTATCATGATTCTCAGGATTGTTAGCACTTTACTTATAGCACTGATATACTGTTCGTAAAACAACAGGAATTAAGAAGAGCTTGAAATTGTATGTAATAGATATAGTCCTGCTTATATTCGAGTCACCAAATGTCGAGTCCGAGTCTGAGTCACCTCTCCCGAGTCTGAGTCCCGAGTCATGCAGGTCGAGCCCGAGTCTGAGTCACCTTTAATATATATTGGACATAGATTTTGAGACACTGCTAAAACTTCACAGTGTAAAATGTTTATATTTGTTCACAGCTTTTCTCTAATATAATGAACTGGAGATACGTGATGTCAAATTATGCAAGGTACAAGTGTCTATGGAAAGGATAGTACCGAACACTATTTCAAGCTTGCATTTACGCAATATCAGGTGTGGACGCTGGGGTACATGTTTCGATACATTGATTTCCCAAATTAATATATCGAAAACAAGCCAGCTACACACGCTGTGTGCGTTTCTTCTGCATCGCACTGGCTGTATCACTTGCTCAGGAGAGGATCGTCTTCAAACTAATTTGTGATTATATTGTTGGGGGAAAAAAGAGATGCGTGGTAATTTTGGCCGAGTCCTGAATCATGCTGGTCGAGTCCAAGTCAAAGTCCGAGTCTGCAAGTCCGAGCATGGGCGTCGCGAGGGGGGGGGGGAGCTTGCCCCCCCCCCCGGAAAAGCCAACATCAACACACACAAAAAAGAAGGGGAAAAAAGAGAGGGGAAAAAAGAAAAAGAGGCGCGAAGTCATAGTGGTGTAAATTTAATGAGTTGGGGATCAACATGTCCCTGCCCCCTCTAAAACTGAGAAATCGAGAATATGTTGAGAAATACAGGAATTTTTTTGGGAAAATATGTTTTGCCCCCCTCTAGAAAACAATCCTGGCGACACCCATGAGTCCGAGTCCGAGTCATTTGTCATCAAGACTCGAGTCCGAGTCCGAGTCACGAAATCAGTGGGACTCGAGTCGGACTCGAGTCCGAGTCCGAGTCATGTCACGAGTTATACAAGTCTGTCGTTTTGTTGTTGTTAAAACACTATATTGGCATGCAATTTCCACAAGTAACAATTACATGCATTTCGTGAATGTATATCGACACACCGTATGCGTTTAATACGTAGCAACAAAATTTGAACTATAAATATCAATGGCATTTATCGTTAAAGGGATAAGTAAAAAGTTGGACATATAACAGATACAGTTACAGCTACGTAACAGCAGTGACTAATTCGGAATATACCCGTTTGGTACTGATGTTGTAAGGGATCGTATTGGAAGTGCGTATTTTGATTGGCTTTGATGTATGCCTCTTTGTCCTTGATCGTATACTGGGACTCTCTCTACCGAATATACCATTGAAATTAATGGACGATCACGACTCAAGCGAATAAATGCTGGTTACTAAATGCATTCTTGGCCCTATACAAGCACACAGTGACAAAAACCTGATCCGAATTCGTATGCAAGTCCACTGCCTTAGATTCCTGAACAAATTTCTTTTACAATTTTCTTGTACATAATTGTTTTATCGGATTGATTGCGTTTCCAATTGTGTCTACTAATTATTTTAATGTATGTAGGGAAGCAGTGGAAAAAAAGCTTTTAACTGTTTTGGTACACAGCAAAAAGAATGTAAATAGATAATTTAATTGAATAACATCTTGTTCTCCACGTCCATTTCAAGTCTGTATTCAGTATTGCTATGTATTCCTAAATTAATACTTAATTAACGTAGTTCTGTATCCGTTGTTTATTTTTGGGAAAGTGAAAAAGAAAGTCTGTCTCCGGATAGTCAATTACGAAGGACACTCTTCGGAATTCATATTGTCTTACTGTGTCAATATAGGCAGACGCTAGCTGACTTTACTTACTGTCAGACATGTCAGTCTTTGGAAATTTAACTGGAACAATTAGATGCAAAAGCACGTTTTAAAAAACGGACGGGGAAAATTCTTTCACAGGGTCTCAGTCAATAGCCCAACATGCACTCAGGCATTCTATCGGGCATTTGTGGGTATAGTGTTGCAGTTGTAAAATGCGCCAGGGGATTGATGTTTGCTCTACCACAAGCGAAATACGGAAGCAGGCCTGCATAACTATCACTTATGGTATCTTTATATGCGTACACAATCTTGATTTGAACCGAAAAATATTACATATCAATTCCTTTGTGGTCAAAAGGACCCCCATGTGAACCGGCCAAAAGCGCACAGCCAGATGACATGTGGGACATAGAGATAAGCTCCCAGGCTATGTGTACATGTATGCACGTGTACAATAAACAGACCCTACGCGCTCAGCCACGAGTAACGGCAAATTTTATTAGAGTTTAGTTGGACAGTTCTTTTTTAAATGAATATTGGCGAGCCTTAACCTCAACCAATCACAATAAGGGTTATATTGTTGGAAAGCTGACGAGACAAAGAAAAATGACTTAAGAGAACTAAGCTCCCAGGTGGCGCTATTGAACGTTGTGATGATATAAGTGGACCAGCTCTTGGGTGAACGCGTGGTTTACACACAAAACTGGGAGATTTTTGACTAAAAATGCAGTGTTAAACATAATTTTGGTGAGGGAAAATCAGTGTTTTATTTAGTTTTATCATTCATTTTCTGAAAGAATATATTGTTAGGGTCATACTGTAGTAAGAACTAAGGTAAACTCTGTCGAATAATGTAGTGGCGGCGATAGATGCGAAAAGGGCCTGTTTTCGCAGTGTTCTCTCATAGAGGTTGCCCATGAAAACCTGCCCGTTGGGTTAGTTCCCCAAAGGAATCCATATGCGTGCAGATATTGCAGTTATTGGGAGTGTTTCATTAATGGAAGTGTTTCATTTGTTTCATTCAAAATGTGAATATTATCAATAAAGGTTGCCACGTGACCATGAAGCTAGAATGTGGCCTTGGACAATTTCTATAAAACCTCAGGCTCTTGAATAAGATGCATTGTCAAAGGGATTGTCATTTAAAATCCTATCAAGTATGGTTTTTTCATAGGCCCGGATTAAGTGCTTCGTAAGCCCTAGGCACCACTGTTCCGAAGAATAGAGAAGGAAGGGAAAAGGAAGAGGGAATAAGAACAAAGTGGAGAATTAATGCAAATAATAAACACCGCTGCTCAAAACTCCGCGAAGCTAAAATCCGGTTTTGAAACCATGTCAAAAGATTGTACATTCTGTCATGTCGGCACAAGCTGCCGCGCGAAGTCGCTTCATATACGGGGGTTGACAGCTACAGCTGTGCATATAAAAAAAAAAATTTTAATCCACTATAGGATTTAAAGACCCCCCCCCCCCCTGCAGTCTGGGATCAGGGAACAGGACCCCTGAACAAGGTATGCGCAA